ACTAATCGGGACCCAACATTAGGGTGCCGAAAAAGGGGACCGCAGTTTTGGCAACCCCCTATATTCATGGGTTCCCCTGTTACCCTCCTTAACCCCCTTAATTAACCTCAATTAAGCCTAATTTTCCTAATTATGAGGGGACCCTAAGGGGGGTAGTATAGGGGGGAGGGGTGGTAGGGGAATCCATTTTCAGGGATGTAAGGATTATAAGGGCAGTCACTGGAGTAGTGTTTCTAAAGAGGATATTGGGGTTTTATGGGTATATACAAGGATTCTAAGGTCAGGGGTTCGGGTCTTGGGGGTTTAGGGGTGTTAGGGGTGGTATGGGCTTTAGGTTTAGGTTTAATGGTTGAAGAAGGCCCAGGGTTTAGGAGTTAACGCGAAGGTCAGGTCGCTGAGGCATTGAACCAAGGGTTTTTCCATGATCAAGAAGGCCTGAGCATAGGGTTTAGGGTTTAGGATTTAAGGGGAGTTCCGCAAATTAGGGTCCTATTTTGGTACCCCTGAATATTAGGTGCCGGAATATATTTTTAACCAAGCATAATTTTGAAAAATCATTCAGCAGCCAAGGGTATTTGAAGTAGACCTGCTTGCCGCTTGCCCGAAGCTGTGCGAAATCAACCGCTCACGTACTACGCACAAGAACCGGAACCTTGACCATAACCTAGGTCCCTTCAAGGGGTATATAGGGGTTTATTGGGATATTATACCCCAATAATGGAGAATCAAGTGGACCAGGGAATTGAACATGGAATGACAACTGGGGTTCTACAGGGGCTATATAAGGATCCAAGTAGAAAAATAATAGCTACATTGGGCCCTAAAGTCTGTAAACATTACCTACTTTCGTCTATTTGGATCCCTACACCCCCTAGCTCCTACTAGTTTCCATTTCATCTTCCATGTGCTTGTCCATTTGATTCTCCATTATTCGGGTAATACTTTGGGCTATTTGGATCCCTAGGGATAAACTTATCTGATCCTAAACCCTAAACCCTCAACCCTAAACCCCAAACCCTAAACCCTAAATCCTAAACCCTAAACCCTAAACCCTAAATCCTAAGCTCTAACCTAAACCCTAAATCCTAAACCCTAAACCCGAAATCCTAAACCAGACATCCTCCAGGCAACTCTTCACCAGCTCTTCCTTGGCGGCGCTTGCCGTGGTTGCCACGTACATGCCCAACCTTGCCCACTCGTCTTACTGGTGGCTAGTAGGGAGTTTTTTGCATACAACCCCTATATATAATCTCTATATAACCCCTATATAACCCCTATATATATTCCCTATATAATCCCTATAAAACCCCTATATAACTCCTATATGATCCCTGTACAAAATCTTCTTCCCTACTAACCCCAGCAAGTCATGTAAGGGCTTTCAATAAAGCCTCTCTTCTGTCTACGGGTTTCAAGGGTTCGAGCTCCAGGTCAGGGCTTTAGAACAGCTGGGAGTGTGAAGGTTTGGCAGCAAAGATGTTGCGGGCTTGGGAGTGATCAGCTGCTCTAGGATCAAAGCTTCCAGCTTTTATGAGCTTCATGATTTAAAGTTAGGGTCAATTCATCCCAAACATGTTCCTATGAAGGTGTGGAAGATTACACCATGAGCTCGCGCTGAATGTCGCAGCTTCATGCCTCATGTTCAGGGTAGGTTTATTGCGACATGCTAGTGGCATCTACAACAGCAACTGTAGGGGGATTTAGGTCCAAACCAGGATATAACTTGGTGTCTTCCTGCCCCTCCCTAAACCCTCAACCCCATAAAGTGATTGCAATCAAAACGTTACCAAAGATGCTGCTACTCAGGGGCGAACCGTCCGTATCAAACTTATGCTGTTCGCTGCATCAACCAGTACAAGCAGCTGTTCTAGAAGACAATCTACCCTGAGGGTTAGGGGCCTGAATGGGTTCCTACGTAGGCGTATTGAACCCAAATTACATCCCATTTGCACTAGGTACTTGGACCCTGAGGGCTACATTCAAAAAAACAGCTCGAATCATGTCCCAGGTTTGCAACAAATGAATCAAAGCCCAATGCATGAACTGGTCCGGGAAACACATTCTTGCAGTACTGAATCGCAAAGGAGCCAACCCCGCCCGCACCAGCTTGGATGAGGATCTTCTTACCCTTGCATGGCAACTAGGTTCTGCAAGAACCCCGCTTGACACTAATCTTCAACACTCTTTGGAGAAGAACTGCAAAACATCGACAACAGGATGTCGGGGCTTCTCGAACCCAAGCTACCTTGACACCATAAATGATATGAGCTGTAGTCTAAACTCCTAGTATCCCCTTAATGACCCCTATAGTAGTCCCCTATATAAGCCCCTTTAAGGAGTTTAGACTATGGCTCATATAGGTACTACAAGGAATTTAATTGTTAGAGTTATGGGGGTCCCTCTTCAGGATTACAGTTTCTCGGAGAGAGGGTAGGACTCAGACTCTGCCCCTCTGTAAATCTCCCCATGTGTCCTGATCAACATCGTGCCTTCTCGCCAAAGCTGTTATACAGATCCCCAGCCCTAAGCCACAAAGCCTAACTAAACCTTATACGTTTTTTAAGGTTTAATAATTGGAGACCCGTTAATGGGGCTGGATTAATGGGCCCTTAACTCTCATTTTTTCAATGCCAGCACGGGCCAGACATTGAAATCACAGCGGCTTGGGACCT